ACACACACACACACACACACACACACACACACACACACACACACACACACACACACACACACACACACACACACACACACACACACACACACACACACACACACACACACACACACACACACACACACACACACACACACACACACACACACACACACACACACACACACACACACACACACACACACACACACACACACACACACACACACACACACACACACACACACACACACACACACACACACACACACACACACACACACACACCACACACACCACACACACACACACACACACACACACACACACACACACACACACACACACACACACAGAGACATCATCATCGCGAAAATAGTCAAAACGGATTCAGGGGACCTCAAAACGTAAAAATCCGTCGAAAACTCGAGGTCGAAAAAAATCATGATTCCTATACTTTCCTTATATCTGTATACAGATAGGAAAGTAAAAATCTAACGGAACCATTTTTCGCGTTTATTAAATTACAGTTGTCTTCATTATCTTCGCCCTCATCATCACTATAAGTAAAGCCTTGGATTTAAAATGTATTTTATCGCTAACCGTCCATAGAGTTGTAATTAAACAACAGTCATAAGATTTTACTTTGGCGATGCTTTATTTAAATTTACAAACAGGAAATATCATACTGGTGAAACTTCAGTGGTTTTAGCAATAAAGATGTAAAGATACAAAATATTAAAGGCCCCAGAATAGATCCTTGGAATCCCATTTTCTATTTCTATTAAAGAAAATAATTTATTCTTACATAACCTAATTATTTATTAATAATATTTCGTATTTTTATAAAAATACCTGATCTTCATTAATATTTCTACTAAAATTTAATATAAAATAAACTTAAATATGCCCAGTTCTTCTCTAATTGATTTCTAATGATGTAACCTAACTTAGATTGTCCTTTTTATCAAAGCTGACTGGCATAAACTACAAAAGCACGTAATGGTTACTTAAACAACTTTTACTTCTATCTTTTGTGTTTAGATGTTTTTAATATCATCAATCATACACTGATTGTTTTACATTTGTAGTAACTAGATAGGTATTATACCCACGAGCTTTTCTGCAACCCGCAGTTATAATACTGTCGGATATTAATTCTCATTTTTCTATGGCGCCTGTTGCACCTTATGCAATTCTCATTTCAAAACAATGATCTAAGTATTACTTAGTAATTGTGCTGGAATTATAAATACAATATGTTCCCATATTATCTGTGACCGCATTTTATGAGTAATCTCGATTCTTGACTACGGTATAAACCTATTTAATTAAGTTCTAACTATTTTTAGGAAGTTGGCACTGTTTCGGGTATACTTTTATAATAGGGATGTAAAGCTATTATAATAATAATAATGCAAATACAAAGAAATATAACAATAGATTTACAGAAAAAAAGTTCAATATCTAATACATTCATATGTTATTAAACAAAAAAATATAACCAATTAAAGACCCCCTGGGATTGCTCTTGAGTTAGTAAGTTTATTTACTAATACATACACACATTTGGGAAATGATTTTATCAGTAATGGAACCATTACGGTTAGTATATTAATAGACGTAGTAGAAGTAATAACTAAGAAACCAATAAAACCTATATCAGCTGGAAAGGAGATTTAGCTAAACAGTTCATGAATGGTTTTTCCGAGGGTTTTTCTTTCAGACTGCCTAATGTTATATATATTCAATATTTGAAAAATGGGAGATTATTTTTATAACTAGTAAAAGTTAGCTAAAAATATTTTTTATAAAGTACCTACGGTAAGCAGCTTGTGAAGAAATCAGTTAAACAGTTTTTTTTAAATAAAATTCAATTTTATTTTTTAAAGAAGTGAAGGAATTATCTACATAAATAACACAGGGCTGATATTAACTATATTTGGGACGCTAAATCTGTACATGCAATCCGTTTTTTTCTATCAGCTCTACTTTTTTAGATACATCAACTTATCTACCTAATAATGTGGTTTTTATTCAGTATATTCATTTATGAGAGTTCTAAAATTATTATATATTCATTAATGTAGGTACAATGGTTTTATTCTCAGTCTGTAATTGAGTAAATTCCAGGTAAATCTATAAATAATGGATCCATTGCCTATCAGGTACCTGAACTGACCATTTTAATCCCCTAACTCGGGTAAGTATCGTCAGTTTGTGCGTTCTCACTAATGAGAGTAGATCGAATTCGGCGTGTTATTTTATATTAAGAAAAGAGTATTTTTGTGTCATTGAACAGAATCAAAATGAGTTCAGGTTCCAGTTCAAGGAGAAGTTGTGTAAATCAACCTGATGTGTTTTGCTATATATGCGAAGAATACATGTTTCAACAAAACAGACAAACTATTACTGTGGGCCCCGTATGTAAAACTTGTACAGAGCATTTACGGCAGTGGACTACCGAAAAAAGAAAATGTCTAAAATTCGGCGTACCAGTGGTTTGGAGAGAACCAAAAAACCACTTCAATGATTGTTATTTCTGTTTAGTAAATACTAAAGGAATCAATCGAAATAACCGCAATAAGTGGACTTATCCCAATGTAGACTCGGCAATACGCCCTATCCCGTACTCAGATGAAATGTCGATTCCAACATTTCATCGGCTACCAAATATCTCTGATGACGAATATTTTCCTTGATCGCTGTTCTGATGCTAATAAAAGTTCTGATGCTAATGAAACTAACAGTGACTATGAGGAGGCATCATCAGTTCCCCAAAGCTTCAATTAAAATGAATTAAATGATCTCACCAGGGATCTCAATTTATCGAAAAAAGCTTCTGAAGTACTGGCTTCTAGGTTGAACGACAAAAATTTATTGGAACAAGAAATTAAAATTACCTTTTACCGTACAAGAGAAAAGTATCTGCTACCATTCTTTTCTCAAGAAGACAATCTTGTATTTTGTCACGAAATTAATGGACGAAAGAAATGGGACTTTCTGAATATATTCCAGATGATTGGCGCCTAAGTTTAAAATGTGTCCTTCTACATAATGGGAATAAATATGGTTCAATACCACTAGCTCACTCAACGAAACTGAAAGAAGAATATAATACAGTAGCTTTGGTCTTGCAGAAGATAAAGTATCACGAACATTAATGGATAATTTATGTAGACTTAAAAATGGTAAACTTTCTTCTTGGGCAGCAAAGTGGTTACACGAAATATCCGTGTTTCTCAAAATGGTAAACTTTCTTCTTGGGCAGCAAAGTGGTTACACGAAATATCCGTGTTTCTTGTGACTCTGGGATAGTAGGGACAAAACACACCACTGGGTTAGAAAAGATTGGCCTCAAAGAAAAAACATGGACGTTGGGGGAAAAGAATGTCATTAAGGACGCTTTGGTTGAAAGAGAAAAAAATCATACTTCCTCCGTTACATATAAAGTTGGGCTTAATGAAGCAATTTGTAAAGGCTCTTGATAAGAATGGGTCATGTTTTGCATATATAGGGGGTCAAAATGCATCAGTTGAGCACAGAAAAACTCAAAGCAGGGATATTTGACGGCCCACAAATAAGACAATTAATTAAGGATCCTGCCTTCATAAATTCAATGAATCAAGTTGAACGAGAAGCTTAGACATCATTTGTTGTAGTTGTCGAAAATTTTCTAGGCAAACATAAAGCTTAAAACTATGTTGAAATGGTTAACAAGATGCTTAATAGTTTCAAATCCTTAGGATGCAATACGAGTATTAAAATACACTATTTACACAACCACTTAGACCGTTTTCCAGAAAATTTAGGAGACATGAGTGAGGAACAAGGTGAAAGATTTCACCAAGATATTAAAGTTATGGAGGACCGCTACCAGTGAAGATGGGACATGCACATGATGGCAGATTACTGCTGGAGTTTAAAAAGGGACTGTCTAAAAAAACATTCAAGAATGTCGCGGAAAAGAAGCTTTCGAAGTGTTGACTGATTATTTGATTTATTCAATGTTTTTTTTTTGTTTGTGAGTACGACATAATATTGTATTTTGTATAACTAAAATAAAATTTCGTATCTACTTTTGTTTACTACACTTACGGATTTGAGTTAAAATAATGTAACTTATATTTTTCTAAAATTGTATATCTTAAAAATTTGAGCTCCTAGGTAAAAATGAATACGTTTTTTGAATTCGGTACATCAAATTGATATAGAATCAGCTCAAAAACCTCGACACCAAAACAGCTGTTCCCCTGTGTAATCAATGAAAAACATTTAAATTGTGGAACATTTATTAAAATTAGCAAAACGCTTTTGACATTAAGCTACAGAGCTTATTTTACAATGAGTATGAGTATAAATATAAAAGATTTTTGAAAAAAATTACTGTTAAAAAAACTTGACATTTCTGCCTCTCTATTGATGCGTAAATATTTACTTTTTTCACTGTCAAAATAATTCACAAAATAAACATGAAATATTACTTTTAAACAATTTCATTTATTGGAATAATAATTGATAGTAAAGTTTGAACAATTACTTCCAACATAACTTCCCGAAGATGTTCCATGTTGCTGTTGATCAGAAACATTAGATATTTCTTGAAGAGTTGATTCCACAATTTTATCAAATATTTTAATTTGTTTGGAAGAAGATGGACAATTCAATATTTTGTTAGAAATCTCAATTTTGTTATTCAAATTATCTTTTATATATGCTTCTGCTACGGAGGTAGTTGTACAAAAAATGTTCGTATTTCGTCTATAAAATTCGTGTTTTCATGGCACATTCTCATGTGCCATTAAAAAACACTCATTTTACGCACTTAATACAAAAATAACTGTAGTGTTTGCCCTTTTCACTTACTAACACTGTAAATAAAACAAGATTATTACTATAACAGAGCTCTGGATCGCGTGCTTACACAATGTCCGTTGCCCAAATTCTTTATTATTATTTAATACAAATACATTATAACTATTATTACATCATATTTCATTCTATTCTTTTATTTTCAGATATATTTCTGCGCAGAACTAGTAATTCACATTCCTGGCAACCTAGGTCAAGACGGAGTAGTATATAGATTAGATTACTTTCCTCCCATTGGGTATCCAGCGCCGAATACCACAATAGCTTCTAAAGATATTCGAGATGTCATCAAATTTTCGCAAGCTTTGCCTGGAACCAAATACGACTTCAGGTTGTATTATTCCAATGCTACTCACAATATGCTCACATGGACTGCCAATTTTACAACAGGTAAACATTTTTATCAACTTATTTTAATAACTATTTTTTTATTTTTTTTACTACAAAAATATCATCAAACTAAAAAGAGCATTTAAAAAATGTGTTAGTTTTGTTATAGTTTTCTTCGGAAGTTTTTTTAAAATTTCTCCAATGATAATATCAATATTTCGATCTCAGGAAAATGTAGCATGTTTTTGTAAAGACCTTTTACACACACTCTGTATACGAGACGTAAATTCAATCGCAACTTTCTAACCATGCTCCAATGGTCAATATATTCCAATCGTAAATTCGCTTTCTGATGTTTTGAAATTATTAACTCTATACAAAAATAATTTACAAACAAGCTGTAATAAAAATAAAACAAAAATGAATCATGCAATTTTTATATCACATTGTCACATTTTATTTATTGAATGCTGGCACTCGTTGATAATTAAAATTAGCTACGGAATGACTAATGGTTATGGATTATTAAATATAATTTTTATTTTTGTCATGACTAACAATAATTCAATGTTTTATTATTTATATTATTAATTGTATTAAAAGTTAAACAATTCTTCAACATACAGGTGTCGGTAAATAAAATTTTGTTCATCTAATAACTATATTATTTGTCTATACAAAATATCTGTCTATGTTACATTAATACATTACAGTGGGCATATTTGGAGAAATTGAAAAATGAAAATAATTTACAAAAACGAGGTGCATACAAAAATTCCTTAAAAATTATAAACATTTTCACAACTATTTGCAGACCAATTATAGAATAAAAAATACGGGATGGCTCAACGAAAACTTGAGTATTAAATCATAGATGTTAAAAATCGGTTTTAGTTTGGGAATTCATCCTTCAAGGATATCCTAAACTGTCATACATTATATTTTAATAAAAGTTGTTTGTGATATCATTCTATATAATTTTTGTTCCATACTTGATTATGGAAAAATGTACCTACTTGAAAGGAAAACATAACCATGTGGATTTTTTCTTTCCGTTTTATTTGGGATTTTATTTATATTTTTTAGAACACAATGAATGAATGCATCGCGAGATTGATATGGTTAAAATAAGGCTTATAATTTTTGTGGAAAATGCTAAACACTTTTCCAAAATCGCATAAGAAATGGAAACATGAAAGTTTCACTCAAAAAGGACATTCTAAAATGTAATATAATAATAATATAATAATAATACTCTCCCTAATTCACCCCCTTACGAGTGAATTTTAACCCCAAAAGCTGAGCTTGTCCGGGGAAAGGGACGGCTATTATTATTATTTGCCGTGGCGCTCCGGGGCGACTTAAAGATTATTGATGGTGCCATTTGACTTACAGGTGAGGAAAACCCGGAAAACCTCACCCACCATCATCGAGACGGTAATGTATGGCGAATTTTTTTAATCTGCATGTCATATCAACAGAAATTGAATTTCTATTAATACGCCACACATCAAATCCTAAACCGAACCATGCAATTTAATTAAAAATCCACATGGTCTGGTCTGGGATTCGAAACCCAGCAGTCTCAGACTCATAAACTTGCCTATAAATGAATATAAGCGCGATAGACCGCTACACCACCGTGCCCGATAAATGGTGGTACTATTAAAAAGAGCAAATGTAACTTAAAATTTTAATTAAATCCCTATATAATTAATTTAATAATCTGCTTTCCTCAGTAATTTTAAAACAAGTTTAACTATCCAGGCTAATTGTTTTTGTTTTTCAGTACCTGATCCACCTTCAGGCCTATCAGTAGACGTCCGAAATGGAAAAACCGCCATCATTTCGTGGGATTCCCCTTCGCAAGGCAGCTTCACCAGTTTCAAACTCAAAATCAATCCCTTAGTACATACGTCCGATCAAAAGCAGCAAACCGTGATTATCGATAACGTCGATAACAACATGTACGTCCTGAAGGATCTCATTCCGGGAGCCACGTATCAAGTCCAGGCTTTTACGGTGTTCGAGAATAAAGAAAGTGTCGCTTATACTTCTAGAAATTTCACCACAAGTAAGTAATATTATTATTATTATTATTTTTTTTTTGTCATCGACTTCAACTACTAAAGTTATTTCACCTCGTGTTCTGTGTAGACTTTGTTACTGTTTCCCAGCGCCACTTTAGGAACAGCACTGTTAATTAGTACCCAACAGTGAATGATCGAGTATAATAATTATTAGTATTTAATTTGGTACTTTTTGAATGAGCGCAAACTATATAGGAAAGTTATAAGAAAATTATACGAATTATACGAATGTAGGAAAATTATAGGAAAGTTATAGAACAATTATTGAAAAATTATAAGAAAATCGTGAGAAATTTATAAGAAAATAAAAAGAAAATTATGAGAAAATTATAAAAAAATTATGAGAAAATTATAAGAATTTTATAAGAAAATTATAGGAAAATTGTAGGATAATTACAGGAAAATTATAAAAAATTATAGGAAAGTTAAAGAAAAATTATTGAAAAGTTATAAAAAATTATAAGATAATCATGAGAAATTTATAAGAAAATTAAAATAAAATTATGAGAAAATATAAGAAAATTATTAGAAAATTTTAAGAAAATTTTAAGAAAATTTTAAGAAAATTTTAAGAAAATTTTAAGAAAATTTTAAGAAAAATTTAAGAAAATTTTAAGAAAATTGTAGGATAATTATAGAAAAATTATAGGAAAATTATAGGAAAATTATAGGAAAATTATAGGAAAATTATTGGAAAGTTATAAAAAATTATAAGAAAATCATTAGAAATTCATAAGAAAATTAAAAGAAAATCATGAGAAAATTATAAAAAATTAAAAGAAAATCGTGAGAAATTTATAAGAAAATTAAAAGAAAATTAAAAGAAAATTAAAAGAAAATTAAAAGAAAATTAAAAGAAAATTAAAAGAAAATTAAAAGAAAATTAAAAGAAAATTAAAAGAAAATTAAAAGAAAATTAAAAGAAAATTAAAAGAAAATTAAAAGAAAATTAAAAGAAAATTAAAAGAAAATTAAAAGAAAATTAAAAGAAAATTAAAAGAAAATTAAAAGAAAATTAAAAGAAAATTAAAAGAAAATTAAAAGAAAATTAAAAGAAAATTAAAAGAAAATTAAAAGAAAATTAAAAGAAAATTAAAAGAAAATTAAAAGAAAATTATGAGAAAATTATAAGAAAATTATAAGAATTTTATAAGAAAATTATTAGATAATTTTAAGAAAATTATAGGAAAATTGTAGGATAATTACAGGAAAATTATAGGAAAATTGTAGGATAATTACAGGAAAATTATAAAAAATTATAGGAAAGTTATAGGAAAATTATTGGAAAGTTATAAAAAATTATAAAAAATTATAAGAAAATCATTAGAAATTTATAAGAAAATCATTAGAAATTTATAAGAAAATTAAAAGAAAATTATGAGAAAATTATGAGAAAATTATAAGAAAATTATAAGAAAATTATAAGAAAATTATAAGAAAATTATAAGAAAATTATAAGAAAATTATAAGAAAATTATAAGAAAATTATAAGAAAATTATAAGAAAATTATAAGAAAATTATAAGAAAATTATAAGAAAATTATAAGAAAATTATAAGAAAATTATGAGAAAATTATAAGAAAATTATAAGAAAATTATAAGAAAATTATAAGAAAATTATAAGAAAATTATAAGAAAATTATAAGAAAATTATAAGAAAATTATAAGAAAATTATAAGAAAATTATAAGAAAATTATAAGAAAATTATAAGAAAATTATAAGAAAATTATAAGAAAATTATAAGAAAATTATAAGAAAATTATAAGAAAATTATAAGAAAATTATAAGAAAATTATAAGAAAATTATAAGAAAATTATAGAAAAATTGTAGGATAATTATAAGAAATTTATAGGAAAATTATAAAAAATTATAGGAAAGTTATAGGAAAATTGTTGGAAAGTTATAAAAAATTATAAGAAAATCATGAAAAATTTATAAGAAAATTATGAAAAAATTATAAGAAAATTATTGGAGAGTTATAAAAAATTATAAGAAAATGATGAGAAATTTATTAGAAAATTAAAATAAAATTATAAGAAAATTATGAGAAAATTATAAAAATTTTATAAAAAATTATAGGAAAGTTATAAAACAATCATTGGAAAATTATAAAAAATTATAAGAAAATCGTGAGATACTTATAAGAATATTAAAAGAAAATTATGAGAAAATTATAAGAAAATTATGAGAAAATTATAAATATTTTATAAGAAAATTATTAGAAAATTTTAAGAAAATTATAGGAAAATTGTAGGATAATTATAGGAAAATTATAGGAAAGTTATAGGAAAATTATTGAAAAGTTATATAAAATCATAAGAAAATCATGAGAAATTTATAAGAAAATTAAAAAAAAATTAAAAGAAAATTATGGGAAAATGATAAAAAAATTATAAGAAAATTATAAGAATTTTATAAGAATATTAGAAAATTTTAAGAAAATTATGGGAAAATTGTAGGATAATTATAATAAAATCATATTTCTAGATATGAAACTACGATCTCAACAGAAAGTAAGATTTTCTTTTTTGTTTAAACCGTGATCGAGAAAAATATCACTCCAATTTATGTTAATATATCGCTAAAACCAATTTAGTTATGTTAATTTTATACAGTGATGGGCAAATGTGTGGAACCAAGTAAATATTTCTGGAATTGTTAGAGATATCCAAATAAAAATTGAAAGGTAGATATTACATTAAATTGCCGGTTTAACCGGAAGTTCAAAATTGTTAAAAAAAAATAGGCAATTTAACATAATACCTACCTTCCAATTTTCATTTCGATATCTCTAACAATTCCAAAGATATTTACTTGTTTTCACACATTTGCCCATCATTGTATAATTTTAATGTTAATAAGTTGGTTACATTGTTAATTGTCATTCCTGTCAATTGTCGTTGATATTTCTGCATGTTTGACCGTTTTTTGTGTTATAATAAAAGTTATTTCGAATCATCCTGGAATTAAACAAAGTTAAACTCACAAAATTACTTTACTTTCAAAAATTTATGTATTCAAACATGGAGATTACTTTATTTCTATCTTTTTGGGCAAAATATTGAAGATAACAGTTTATGAAATTGGGTTTTTAATATTGTGTTTCAATTAAACAGCTTGTTTCTTGCTTGATAGTTTTAATAATAAAAATAACAATAGCATATTGAGAAAACATATAAAACGTTAATATTTGCAAATAAATTAACACCTCATAAATGACGTAACTTATAATTAGCAAAGTTTATTTTATTTTAAACGAAAAGTTTACACGAATCGCGATCAATTATTACAAATTCAGTTTAGCCAACTCGAACGGCATAATATGTGTTGCAATTTACAAGGTTTCTTCTGACTTTCAATCATTTGATAACGTGACCAGATTTTTTCTGGGTGTTGACTGTTAGTAAAGAATCGTATCACGATTTTTCGGTTAAACAAATCTTTCTTACAATTTAAAACAATTCTAAACTTAGGTACATATCAAAAACATCTAAAAACATTTTTGATTGATATATTTTTACCCAATTGGTGACATAATATGGAAGACGGGTGATGTAGAAGACTGCACATTTCAAAATAAAACAGGGAAACGTTTTATAGCCAGTCTATTAATAATTTTTCATTACATTTTTGTCATTGCCATAAATTCCAGCGAGTCTCTCTCGTATGTTGAGTTGCTTCCTTTCTTATTTTTCCTTTTTTTTACGTCTTCGACCACTAACGTTTCTAAACATTCTTTGATGGTGTAAGTAATCTTACCGAGTTGACCTAAATTAAAAAAATCTTTCGTCAAGCTTCCCGATTAGCAGGAAATGCAGTTCACTTTTAGAGCTTCCAATAACCATGACATAAACATGCAGTTTAATGGATTTATATATTTTACTCGTTTGTATTAGTTTTTTTATAACACAAATACAAGGAGATCTGTCTGGACCTAAATAAATTCGGGTTTCAATAAACATAAGAAAACTATATCGGATACTGTTTCTTCTTGTTGGAATTAACTTGTGTTATTAAAGAAGAAATATGTTCGATTTTACCAGTAAATAATTAATACTATTTTTTTGGCTTGCCGACGCTGTGATTCTTTACGTTGAATAATTATTTAGATCCATTTTAAGACATTTTTCTAATTATTACTAAACGAATATTTCACAAAATAGATTTCATATAACCTACATATTTTCGATGTTTCATTTTCGTTTTTATGTTAAAATTTAAAAATTTTAAATATTTTTTATTAAAGTTAACAGCAGTTGTTTGACCAAATAATTCCTTTTTTAATATTATTACCTCCCAATTTTTAGAATTCACAGCCCTACTTTTCTTACTGTTTATAAGTCGCATTCTATATACATGACATTTTTTTACCTAATGACATTTTAAGTTACACATAGACTTTAAGAATGTTGTCGATATTTATTATTTTCTAATATCTACAGCGTAATGAAATTAAAAGTTTTTCACCTGGTAACATAATTACTTTTAAAAAACATATTTTAACATAAATCAAGCTCATTAAAACATTTTTTGCCAATTATTAATAATAATTTATTTAAGTATTTAATGACTTGTCCAATAAATTGATTATACGAATATTTACTTTACATATTGTAATGGTAATTATTCAAGTAAAGAAAAAAAATGGCTTATATAAGAGCGTATTTACCTATTGATTAAATTATAATTGAGTGCTGCATAACATTCGTTTAAATTTGCTTACAACGTACTTATGATCAAAAACAAGTAAAAGTAATATAAAGTTTTTTTAATAGTTGAGTTGGGACCAAAATTCATTAAAATACAGAGAGTTATGTGGCATTGGAGGAAAGGTTTATGACATTAGAAAGTTTATCAAATGTTATCAGGAAGTTAAAAAAGACGATAGCATAAATCATAATAGGTGACTTTGGGAGAGTCGCAGAAAACTGTATTGGGTATCATTTCATTATCAATTACCCTAATAAATATTATTATTAATA